TACTCTTTCTGGCTCTTGGTCCTTTATCTTCAGGTTGAGGCCAAATTATTTTGTACCATGATTATCTCCTCTCTCTAGCCCTAACGTTTGGAACTTCCAACCCTCTTAGCTACTATTAGTGTAGTTCTGCTCCTCATTACATGACTGTTAAAATATATGAAATGCAAAAGAGGAAAATTACAATATTAACTGCATAACAATTGTCTAATGGTTATGAGCACCTTTAAAAAAAACAGCCAAAAAAGATATGTGAAGAATAGGTGGGAAACATATTTGTTAATATGGGTGGGAGGGGAACCACATTCTCTTTCTACCAAAATAAAAAGGTATGTGGTCCAAAGGGCCACAGCATAAATACAATCTGTGATCACAACCAGAGTAAATCTGTGTAGAATTGCTCATCACTATTGTGGGAACTAGCACCAAGAGTAGAGCTTTTTAAGCACACAGTCACTCACTTGCTTTTTTTTTTAAGGGCTGTTTTTGCCCAATTTTATTTAAAAGAAAGATCCATATAACAGGTTTTGAAACACAGGGGTGTCCACCATCAATACAAACAAAAATATTCAGCCTCCTGGCTTTCTTTATCAGCCCTGCTGGTTAGCAGTACTTCTATTTAAATGGGTCTCCCAGACCACTGGCTAGTCCCAGAACACAGCGTTGGACTCCTTGAATGCACACAGCGTTCTTCCAAAATATGGTGGTTTGCACACAGCTAGCAGCCACTCGCACACAGCTAGCAGCCCCTTGCTGCTCTGGCTTCCACCTCTCCTAGGTGGAGCTCTCCTAACTCCTGGCAATGACCTCCTATCTGCTGGGGTGGAGCCCTCCAACGCACCCAGCCTTGGAGTCCTTGGACCGCACATACACAGCCTTAAAGTCCTTGAACGCACGCAGCATCAGTCTCACAGAGAGACACTCATTTAAAGCCTTGCACACACCTGTACCATTAGTGTGCTGGCTGCTTTCAAACTCTGGACGCTGGATTGGAGAATTCTTCCCTCCCAAGGCACTTTGAAATCTCAAAACTACGGAGCCCCATCCAGAAATACCAAAATCTGGAGAAACCTGCAACAGAAGTTTTCTCCACTCAAAATCTATGCTCCGCAGTTCTGCACTCCTCACATGTGCAGACCCTGTGTCCATTACCTGACCACTTCTACCTGTATTTATCCTGTGACAGGGCCCTGCACTGTTACACTATTTTGATGCATCCTTTAAAACACCTCATTTTACCCTGCCAATTTAAGACCTTCTAGATAGTATTTTTCTGATTTTACCGTCTGTATGTTCTTTAGTGTGTTTCCACATTTTAAATGTGGATTTCATACCATACTCAACCATTCTCAACCACATCTCCTAACTAAGATACTATCATGGAAAAATAAACTTAACTATTAGGGGTCGTCAAACATTCTCCGCACTTATACAGTATATGTAATGTAAAAATAGCTGAAGATAGCAAGGGGAATGTACCCAAACATCCCTTGACAGGCTAGACAACATGTTTAATCCCTGGACTGGAGTTGGCTGCACTGACCGGCAGGAATTTTTAAGAATTCGAGAGCTGCATCACTTTTAATGATAATAATTTGAGAGGACATATTCAACCACAGAGTTATCAAAAGAATCATCTTTCATTTTTCTGGATTCAATTATTTTTTAACCACTTGCCCTCCTGAGGATTTACCCCCCTTAATGACCAGATCTCTTTTTGCTACTCGGCGCTGCACTAATTCAACTGATAATTGCGCAGTCATGCAATGCTGCACCCAAATGAAATTTACGTCCTTTTTTTCACACAAATAGAGCTTTCCTTTGGTGGTATTTTATCACCTGTGCACTTTTTATTTTTCACGCTATAAACAAAAAAAGACCAACATTTTGAAGAAAAACTATATTTTTTACTTTCAGCTATAAAAAATATATAGTAAACTCAAAGTTGATTATAAATTTAGGCCAAAATGTATTCTGCTACATGTTTTTGGTAAAAAAATCCCAATAATTGTATATTGATTGCTTTGTGTGAAAGTTATAGCGTCTACAAACTATGGTATAGATACTGCAATTTACGCCATTTTTTTGCTATACAGCGCTGCGCTAGTTTAATGGACAATTGCGCAGTCATGCAATACGGTACATAAATAAAATTGACATAATTTTTTTTACCACAAATTGTGCTTTCTTTCGGTGGTATTTGATCGCCTGTGCGTTTTTTTACACTATTAAAAAAAGGCTGACAATTTTGAGGAAAAAAAAAACAATATTTTGGGCTTTTTGCTATAAAACATGTCCAGTAAAAAAAAATTTAAAAATCAAATTTAGTCATAAATTTCTGCCAAAATGCATTCTGCGACATATCTTTGCTAAAAAAAAACCCAATATGTGTAAATTAATTGGTTTACGTGAAAGTTATAGCGTTTACAAATGGCAGGAAAGATACTGGGATTTTACATTTTTTTTTATACTAATAATGGCGGCGATCAGCGACTTATGGCGGCAATCAGTGACTTATGGCGGTGATCAGCGACTTATGGCAGGACTGCGGGACTGTGGCAGACATTCTGACACTGGGGGGGAACTGACTTGGGGTCACTGACATCCCCAGTGACACCAATACAGTGATCAGTGAAAAAAAAAAACACTGACACTGTACTAATGGCACTGGGGAGGAAGGGGTTAACTTTTTTATTTACTAAAAGGGTTAACTGTGTGAGGGGAGTGTTTTACTAGGGGGCAGGGGTGTGAACACACTGATCTGGAGAGATAAACTCTTCTCTCCAGATCAGCATGTCAGGAGCTGACAGGGGACTGACAGAAAGAACAGCTGCAGTGTAAACACTGCAGCCGTCCTCTCTGTCAGTGATTGCTGGTAATCGCCGGGACACGGTAGATAATGACCGGCCGTGACCCGGCGACTGACACCCATGGCTGCGATCGTCGGGACGGGTAGGGCGGGCACGCGCCTCGTGCGCGCCCCCTACCTGTTTTGCAAACGCACGTTTTAAAATGTGGTTTTGCCCAGCCGTGCTGACCTACCACCGTATTTCTACAGTGGCTGGGCGGCAAGAAGTTATCCTATTCATTATTCACAGTAAGAAAAAAGTAAATTGTAGTTACGTAGCTGAGATTCATTTATAGAATGGGGTTGGCAACTTACTATGTTTCATTTATTGTTTATCATTTCTTAAAGACTGGTTCAGTATAGTTAGTGTCACACAATGTCCTTTGATACCCATGTTGAATATGCCAAAATGCACACTACCCACATGTATAATGCTGGGGCTAGTGCAGGGTTAGCGCACTTGTGAAATAGTCAAAGTATGCATTAAAATTTCATTAACATTATAATAACCAAAATGCATTCTTCCATCTGGAAACTAAAATAGTTTTAGTCTCATCAAAAGTGGAAATTTAAGGTATTAAGGGGCTAAATGTTTTTTTTTCATAAATCAATGAAGAGCAAGATGACAAATTATACTTGTTGATTGGTTCTCTCAATGAAATTAGGGGGGCTTTTGACACCTGGTCCCCTGTGCATCAGGATCACAGGCCTGCAGTCACACTGACATTAAAGCTATATGAAAGAATTGCTTTTCCTGTGTAATCTGCAGGACTAAGCTGTCAATATGATAGCTTAGTCCTGAACGGTGCAACAGATGGCAAGGTGATGTGGAGGCAGAAGAAGCTCCTGCTCCAGCTTCGCTCCAGCCTACACAAGGCCAGGTTCTTGTGCCTTTCCTGTTAGGAGTATGTTTAGATGATAAAGATCAGTTTTAAGGTAAGAGTTACTGAGATAATAGTGAAGCCAGTCAGATTGAAATTTGGCTGGTTCAGCAGGAACTGGATGAATTTTGATCTATGTATGGACAGGGAGGTTGTACAGAGGCCCATCTACCAACCATCTTCTGTACAACTGCCCTGTCAGTTTTTCCCTGCTGTAGCCAGCAGCACTGATCAGTGTATCCTGATGCTGACTCTGTCAGCTAACAATAGTTCAGCAGCTAGGATTCCCTCATGTACACTGAATGTGTGGATGGGAAAATCGAGTCATTTTTTTCCATTGAACAGCTGGCTGAACAAAAAAAGACTCATCCTTGGGCTGCCTAATGGGGGTCATAGATGGGTCGAAAATTGGCCGATTTTTCGGCCGAAAATAAAATCGGCCGATTTGTCGGCCGAAAATAAAATCGGCCGATTTTCGGATCGTTAGTGGGCTATTTGTTTCGGCTGTTTTTCGGTATTTTGGCAGATTTTTTTTATCAGTAAAGTTGGAAAAAAATCGGCCGATTTTGCCGATCGGCCAATTTTCGCGGCAATGATGGGCAAATCGCCCGATTTTTTACCGATAAAAAAATCTGCGCATGAGCAGTGACCTGCAAGAGGAAGACAAAAAGAAGAAAAAGAAGAAGAGGAAGAGGATGAAGAAGAAGAAGAGGATGAAGAGGATGAAGAATAAGAGGATGAAGAAGAGGAAGAAGAGGAAGAAGAAGAGGATGAAGAAGAGGAAGAAGAAGAAGAAGAGGATGAAGAAGAGGATGAAGAAGAGAGGAAGAAGAAGAAGAAGAGGATGATGATGATGAAGAAGAAGAAGAAGATGATGATGATGATGATGAAGAAGAAGAGATGATGAAGAAGAGGAAGAAGAGGATGAAGAAGAGGATGAAGAAGAAGAGTAAGAAGAAGAGGATGATGATGATGAAGAAGAAGAAGAAGAAGAGGATGAAGAAGAAGAAGAATAAGAAGAAGAGGACGATGATGAAGAAGAATAATAATAAGAGGATGAAGAAGAGGAAGAAGAAGAAGAAGAGGATGAAGAGAGGAAGAAGAAGAAGAAGAAGAAGAGGATGAGAAGAGTAATAATAATAATAATAATAATAATAATAATAAGAAGAAGAAGAAGAAGAAGAAGAAGAGATGATGATGATGAAGAAGATGATGATGATGAAGAAGAAGAGGATGATGATGATGATGAAGAAGAAGAAGAGGATGAAGAAGAGGAAGAAGAGGATGATGAAGAAGAAGAAGAGGATGATGATGAAGAAGGAGAAGAAGAAGAAGAGGATGATGAAGAAGAAGAGGATGATAATGAAGAAGGAGAAGAAAAAGACGAGGATGAAGAAGAGGATGAAGAAGAGGATGAAGAAGAAGAAGAAGATGATGATGAAGAAGAAGAGGAAGAAGAAGAAGAAGAAGAGGATGAAGAAGAAGAATAAGAGTTTGAAGAAGAGGATGAAGAAGAGGATGAAGAAAAGGATGAAGAAGAGGATGAAGAAGAAGAAGAGGATGAAGAAGAAGAAGAGGAAGAAGAGGATGAAAAATAAGAGGAATTCCAGTCCGGCAAAGAGTGTCCCTGCAGAGAGCTCTGCTATTTCTTTGACAGTTCCTTGACATTTATAGCGGTTGCAACAATGTATCTATTTGTTTCCGAATAAAAACATCTGTATCCTAAATGGATACAAATAGATACATTGTTGCAACCGCTGTAAATGTCAAAGAACTGTCAAAGAAATAGCGGAGCTCTCTGCAGGGACACTTTTTGCCGGCTGTAGACGGGATAAAAATCGGCCGATTTTTTTTACCATTGCTGGTAACGTTGGCCGCTTGAACGACCGATTTTTCGTTTTTTTAAAGAAAAATCGGCTGTTTTTTCTCCCCGTCTATGGCCTGCATAAGGCTTTCCAGGCTGACATGTGTTTACTGCTGTATGCTGATAAATAAACTCTGTGGATTATGTACGGATTCCAGCATTTACTTTGTAGAGTACCAAGTGGATGGACGGGAGCCCAGCCCAGTCACTAATCAAGAAAAAATTTCCAACATGTCACAGTTCTTTGCTGGACCAATCAAATTGCAATCAGCAAATTCTATGTGATAATACAGTCAAATTGTGTATGGAAAGAATATTATAAATCTTCATACTAGTGTAGCTTTACAATTTTAAAATATATCTAAATCTAAAAACATACATTTCATATGGCAGCTTACCGTTCCTTGAAAATAGTGGCTGCATTATTTTTTTTCAGGCTTATTTTTATCTGATGATTCAGAAAAAAAATGTGGTACTGAACACTTTTTATGTTATGCTTCATTCACACTATGAACATTTTTTTGCCCATTGTTTTACATACATAGGGATGCCCGTTCATTTCAGTTGGCTAAACTACATAAGACAAATGTGGTAAAAGTAGCTTATGTACCTTTTTGAGCTTAGAACCTTGCACATTTTTTTTTATTGTTTTGTTTGTCACACTTTCTTTTGCATAAAAAAGTGCTTGGGGCGCCATTAACAATGAATGGCACTGCAAGCACAACAAGCATCTTATGTGCATATGATGAGCACACACAAAATTACACTATTTTGTGTGCAACCCCAAAATGCTATAGTGTGAATGCAGCCTTAGGATGGCCACACTTAATCCCCTGCTCCATCTATGGAGGAGCAATGTAGCCACCCCTGGATAGAAGCATTGTCAACATGTGAAGAGGGTAGTGTTAGATAGGCTAGTAAATCTACATAGATTGTACAAAGTGGCTAACAAATTAAAGCCTTACTCCAGATAACACTTTTTTAAGCCGTTATTAAACTGTTTTTTTTCTCCTTTTGAAATAAAAGTTTTAATTAAATGAATTAAATCTGGCCACTGTAAGCACCCTTGTCAGTGTTAAATGGTTCGTCCCAACCCGCTAACTGCCTTTTTTTGCTGAACAGCTTGATCTGTTAAAGAAAGTTGAAAAATAGGATGAACAGGGGAAAAACTATGTTACAGGGGAGAAAAACAAATAGTGTTATGTTAATGCTATTGAGAGACTGCATCATATATCCAATTTTATATGTTGCCCATAGTTCCACTCCATTTATACACAGATATATTCAATGTCAATGTATAATGCGCAGTCAACACATACAGCTGTAATTTCTTTCTCACTCACTGGTATATCAAACATATTTATGTCAACATGTTTAGCTTCAGGCTAACTGGAAAAGCAAACAAAAATGAAAGCAATTTGTAGGAAGACAATTTTTCAAAATATGGGAGTAAGTAGAAAACATGCATAAAGTTTCAGAAATAGAACTTGGCATTTGTGATTGTGGTCATTACATTCAGTCCTTTTATCTTAAACAGTTTCCACAATTTACTACTGAAGTTGCTCTAGTTTGTGATTTTTGGTATTTTGTACTCTGGACTAATTTGGCAAAATAAACTGTAACATAAAAAATAGCATTGAATACAACTTTTTAAGACATCTGTGTGACTTCATGCACAGATGTCTATGCAAGCTGCATCCGAAATTACCAAAAGTAGTGCAGGAACTACTTTCCAAACCAGTGCCATCAGTGCACCGATTAGAACGGTTCCATTGCCAATCATTGGGTGTGACTTGTCATGCGATTTGAATTGTCAAATCGCATGACAAGTCACATCGGTGTGAACGGGGGATAGGACAGAAGTTCAAATAGTTTATTATGAACATGAAAGAAAAAAATCAATTAAACAGTAATTAAGCAGTCACAGATTCACCATGGTAACTAAAGCAGGTACCCAAATAACTAAACCGGATAGCGTATGTACTCTCCAGCGCCTCAGGATATGCACAGCCAAAAGGGAAGCCAAGGGTACCAGGACAGCGACAACCAAAGGAAATGTTCCAGGGGTGCAGCCCTCCTCAGACGGGGAAATCAGCCACTGGATAGATAGAGAGAAAACAGGTGGCGCACACACCTAGTGCATTATCCAAGGTTTATTGTAGGAATTAAATCATAAAAACATACTCACAGACGAAGCATCAACAGCGAGGCTCTTACTTCACTTTCCATTCATCATACATCAGCATCAGAGGTTGGTCATCAGCTCTGAGGAAAGGGATTCGTCCCCGAAACGCGTCAGCCATTTGACCGCACTGACAGTGAGAACACCTTGCCCGCCGTTGTGGCCTTTGTCATTTTCTATGCTTTTTAGATACATGCTTCCTCTGTGAGTATGTTTTTATGATTTAATTCCTACAATAAACCTTGGATAATGCACTAGGTGTGTGCGCCACCTGTTTTCTCTCTACCCAAATAACTAAGCAGTACAAGGGTGTCTGCCTGTACATCACGGGTTTTTACTGTCTTCAGATTTACAATGAGCTTTTTTTACCCCATTTCATGGGATTATTTGAAAAATATTTTGAACAAATAGGGCTTTTGGGATACCTTTTTAAATGGATCTTGGCATTGTGCTCAACCTTTACTGCCAAAATTAAATATCTTGGATCCCACTCTTGTAGCCTCCTGATTGAGCAAGGTATTTATCGAGGCTGCCCCTTATCCTCAATCCTATGGAGGTCTCACCTGGACCCACTCACCCAGACCTAACGGTCGTAAAGGTGGTGGGGTTGGTCTGCTCCTGTCACCGCACAGCACCTTCCGAGTCCTCCCAAACCCCCCCTCCATATCCTTCTCCTCCTTCGAGGCCCACTGCATCAGACTATTCTCCCCACCCCCCTGAAGATTGCTGTGATATACCGGCCTCCTGGATCCATACCCCGCTTCCTGGATGACTTCTCCTCCTGGCTACCCTTCTTCCTCTCCTCTGAGCTACCCACCATCATTCTTGGGGATTTTAACATCCCTGTCAACCTCGACAACCCAGACACAGCCCGTCTCCTCCACTTAACCTCCTCCTTTGCACTTGCACAGTGCATACAATCCACCACCCACTCCGACGGTAATATCCTTCATCTTGTCTTCTCCAACCGCTGCGCCCCCCACAACCTCACTAACACCCCCTTTCCTCTCTCTGACCACAACCTGATTACCTTCTCTATCTCCTTGTCCTCCAGCGCCTACCCCTCCAAATGTCACACTACTACCAGCCGTAACCTCCGCAACCTTAACCCTGCCCCCCTCCACTCTGCAGCTGATCAACTCCATGACAGCATCCTCCCCCTGTTTGCCCCGACTTGGCTATGACTGCCTACAACAACGCGCTGTCAACAGCCCTTGACTCACTAGCGCCTTTAACCACACGCAACATCAGACCCCGACCGCTCCAGCCCTGGCAGACTGATCACACCAAAACCCTCAAACGACACAGTCGTGCCCTGGAGCGACTATGGCGCAAAACACAATCCCAACAAGCCTTCACCCACTACAAATCTGCCTTCCGCACCTACACCTCCTCCCTCCACGCAACCAAACAAGCCTACTTCCTGACCCTCATCAAGACCCTCTCCTCCAACCCTCGCCGACTCTTCTCCACCTTCAACTCTCTACTCTCTCCACCCCCACCTCCACCCAGCACCTCACTCACCGCCCTTGAGATTGCCAATCACTTCAAAAACAAGATTGACACAATTCGCAAGGACATTGCAGCAACTCACACGCCCTCTCAACCCGTCCCCTCTCACACAGCTACCCCCTCATCACCCCTCTCCCACGGCCCCACCACTGCCCTGACCTCCTCTTCCACCCCACCCTACATTCCTCATACTGAAGCTCCCCCAACACTCCACACCTTTGACCTTACTACCATCGAGGAAGTCTCCAAGATCCTCTCTGATGCCCGCCTCACCACCTGCCCCCTCGACCCTATCCCCTCACAATTCCTACGACCTCCCTCCCTCCCCCTCCATCCTACGCTCCCTCACCCACATCTTTAATCTCTCCCTCTCCTCCGGCACTTTCCCCTCCCCACTGAAGCATGCACACATCACCCCCATACTTAAAAAGCCCTCCCTGGACCCCAATGACCCGAACAACCTCAGACCCATCTCCCTGCTCCCACTTACATCTAAACTCCTCGAGTGCCTCGTCTACACCCGCCTATGCTCTCACCTCAACGACAACAACCTCCTCGATCCCCTACAGTCTGGCTTCCGTCCCCTACACTCCACCGAAACCGCCTTACTCAAACTCTCCAACGACCTTCTAACCGCCAAAGCTAATGGCCACTATTCAGTGCTCCTACTCCTTGACCTCTCTGTGGCCTTCAACACAGTTGACCACCCCATCCTCCTCAAAATACTACACTCCCTCGGCCTCAGAGATTCTGCTCTCTCCTGCCTCTCATCCT